GAACTCATCTTGTTGACATACACGCTTTAGTGGAACTCATCTTGTTGACATACAAAGGGCTGGAACTCTTATGGTGAAAGGACTAGTTCTTTCCCATTCTGGCTATATAAGCTTGGTCTGAAGCCTACTGCCTATTTCTAAATGACCAAGTGAAGATGCGTAAGAGTCATCAGTGAGACATGGTGGCCAAAAAAGGGAAAGAGCCATGGCCTCCCCAGATGGATGAGGAGAGGGCAGGCCTGCTGGGTTGGGGTCAGATGTGGGCACCACAGTTTAAGGAAGACCTGGAGAGCATGAGGAGTCTGGCAGTCAGGCTTGTGAAGGGTCCCAAAGAATCCTTGGCTGAGGGAAGCAGGTGGGTGCCGTCTGGAGGAGAGAAGACTAGGGAAAGGGCATGACAGTAGCTCAGTTATTTGAAGGGCTCTCATTTTGGAGAGGTACCACTCTAATCACCGGGATCACAAAGACAGACAAAAACAATCTCTGTTGTCAGGGAGCTCACAATTTAACAACAGCAATGACAGTAAGAATAGAGACATCATGGTACAATAGAGATAATAATAACAACAACAACAACAACAATAATAATAATTATCACTAGTACCATGGTATAGAGGATAGAGATGATGATGATGATGATGGTGGTGGTAGTGATAATGTCAATGTATCATGGCATAGAGGACAGAGAGTCACCTCAGAGGGCAATTTTTTCTGCTTGGCCCAGATGGTAGAAGCAGAAGGCCATGGGAGTAGTCTCCAAAAAGCTAAATTCAGGCTTTAAATAGAGACAGACTTCCTAATGATCAGAGCTATCCCAGAGTAGTTCTCCTCTTCCACGTTGGAGCTCATCAGTCAAAATCTTGGATGACCGTTGTTGGGGATGCTCTGGAGGGAATTATTAGGGAGGTCAGAGATGGCCTTTGAAGTCTCTTCCCTTTCCGAGATTCTGGGATCCTGGGGTTGTCTAGAAACAACAAACCTAGATGAGGAAGGAGGGCACTGGCCAAAGGCGGGGAGAGAATGAACCTGCTAGCCTGTCCTTGCAGCGCGTCATTGCGCCACCTGGTGACCCTTGCAGGGAAAACACTGGCTTGGCTGCCCACGGTCGCAGGGGGCTTCAGGATTTCAAGACTGTCTCCCTTGCTGCCCTCTCTCACCAACATTCAAACATCAGGAATGTTTTCCCAGCTGCTTCTCCCTCCCCTCTCCCTGCGATAGACACATGGGCTTTATTTGGGGTAGGTCCCTAACAGAATACAGGCTCCCCCATGGGGCACGTGGAAGGCCAGATACAAGTGTTCCCTTTTGTATCCATTCACTCAACATTTATTAAAGTTGGGCAGACCGTGGTGTGAGGCTGTGTGTGTGTTTGTGTGTGTGTGTGTGTGTGTGTGTGTGTGTGATAAGTACAACCTGGACCCTGTAGGAGGAATGAAGTGGGAACACATCACCACCACCATCATCATTAACTTATAAGGAGATTACTTCTGATTCTGTGGAGAGAAAAGAGAGAAGGAAATCCAGGAATACACTTTCTGGAGGTGTCATATCCCCCCCCCCCCCATTACTTAGGCATTATAATTGCCTGGCTATGTCCTACTTTGGAATCCTGGATATTGAAAATGATCACCGGAATGAGAAGGCCAGGAGGCCTCACTACATCTCCCAGTAAACTATCAGTTTGGGACTTGCTCTCTCTCAGGCATTGGGTTTACAAAGACAAACAGCCAGCCACCGCCGGTCCCCGCCTTGAAGGACTTCTGCTCTACTGGGAGAAACAGTCAGCATCTAGAAAACCAAATACAAAATTTAAGCACGTAATTTAAGATTTTGAGGGGAAGGCAATAGTAATTGGGGCAGTCAGAAAAGGTCTCATGCCGAAAAGCTGAGCTTTAAGGTAAGATAAGGATTCTGAGAAACAAAAAATGAGGAAGGAATACAGTTCAGGCCTAGGGGGTAGGGGGTGAGTCTGGGAAGAAGACTGGAAATGTGCTATGTGGCAAATGAGTTCCCCGGTTTGGCTGGTCTGTAGAATGGGTGAAGGAGGGGAATGCTGACTAAGGCCTTATGTCCCCTGAAGGCAGCCCCCTGGAAGGAGCCTGGGTCAGGGGCTTGGCCAGCTCCTGCTCCATGGGGTGCACTGGAATCCTCACCACAGAAATAAAATAAATCTCAGATAGTGCTACTATTCCTTTCTTCAGGAAGGCCAGAATGAAGCCCAAATAGAAGGGACAGCTTTGAAAGCTCCACGGTGAATTTACTATAGATTTGAAAAGAAAAGCTGTACATAATAGATATTCAGTTTCAAGGACATATGGAAATGCCCATTTTATTTGGTATTGTTAAGTTCAGAATAAAGTCCAGCCTGAGACACTTACTAGTTGTGTGACCCTGGACAAATCCCTTAACCTCTACCTGCTCCAGTTTCCTCATCTGTAAAATGGGAGTAATAACAGCACCTACCTCCCAAGATTGTTGTAAGACCGAGTGAGATTGGTGAAGTATCTGCACAGTGCCCGGCATGAGCACGCACTATATTTGTCATTGAGTTGGATCACTCATGTCCAACCCCCTGGGACCCCATGTAGGGTTTTCTTCGCAAAGATACTAGAGTGGTTTGCCATTTTCTTCTCTAGCTCATTTTACAGATGAGGAGACTGAGGCAAAGAGTGAAGTGACTTGTTCAAGGTCACAAAGCTAGTAAGTGTCTAAGGCTGGATTTGAATTCAGGTCTTTCTGACTTGAGACAAGTATTCTATCCACTTCACCACCTACCTGCCCTATAAGTGCTTTATAAAAATTATTTTTATTATTATCATATTTTAAAAACCTTATTCTTTTCTTTGTATGGCCATCTTATATCTTGTAGAAGGATGCACTTTCCATGCTGGAAAAAAATTATTTTTTCCCCTTTATTTGATAGACATTGAAAGCTATCAGCCAGAAAGCGGGCCTGTGAGAAGGCCCTTGGCATCTTTCTAATTTTTATCCAATAAATACCAGCCGCAATCATCAACATTCAAGTGCTTCTGTTGTCAGGAATAAATGCTGTCAGCATGCTCAGAAGTAATGGCCAAATCTATCTATTAATAGCAAACTAGACCTTAATTTCTCATTACACTGATTTTTGCTGGCAGCTTTTTCGACCTGCTTCCTGGAAATGAAAATATTCTGAAATGTTTGGCCACCGGCCTGCTGACGGCCTCTGCGCCTGCCATCCCTAGACCACGCTACACGAGTTCAGAGATGAGCCAGAGCCGGCCCGGCTGCTGGAGGATTCGTTTTTTGGGACTCTTTACTCAAGGACCATCTACTAACCTGAAGAGGAAGTGGTCTTCGTTGCCTGTTGATTAGTCAACCAGCATTCATTAAGAGCTGACCAAACGGGGGCGATAGCTGTAGTATCCACCAAACCCGGTGGTTGAGAGGCTCAGAGGAAGCAACAATTAGGGGGAAACGGGGACTCGATCAGCTGTTTAGTCTCAAGTGACTACTGCCTTCACCTGTGTGCCGTGGGGAGCCCTCGTCTAAGCTTCCCGCTAATTACTCTACGTCCCCAGTGTGGTGGGAGGGGAAGAGGCCCTTCCAATAGAAAGACACTGGAGGAATCTGCTGCAGCTCTGGGGAGCCTTGGGCCTCTTGGCCTAGGGACCAGGCCATCACTGACCCCCTTTGTACAGGCTATGGGAACCATGTAGGAGAGGCAGGAGCCCCGGGCCCAGCTGCCATTTTGTTTCCTTCTTTTCTGGGATAACCCTGGCTCTGCCCAATGCCAGATGGGCATCTCAGCTGCTCAGAGGTTCCTCTCTCTGCACATTCATGGGAAATAGACTTACTCCCAAGAAGGTTCTGGGCTGGCTACTGGCCCAGTAGAGTTTTTATCATGTAGGATGGCATCAGGTAGCACAGCATGGTAAAAAACATGCTGGACCTGGCCCCAGAGAACCCGGCTTCACATCCCCCCTCTGGCCCATACTACCTGTGTGACCTTGGTCAAATCACCTGACTTTTAAGGGCCTTGATTTCCTGACCTGTCAAATCAGGGGTTTGGGCTGGGTGACCTCTCAGGCCCCTTTCAGTTCTACTGTATGATCTAAAGTCTGTGTCTTTATACTCAAGTGACTATTTTAAGTGGCCTGAGGATGGGTCTGTTTTATCTCAACTTTGTATCTAACTGAATGAATGAATGAAAAATATTTACTGTTTTCTATATGCCCAAAATTGTGCTAAATGTTTGGTGAATGAAAGAATGATTATGTTCAACACCATCCCTTTCCAAGGATCCCCTCATAGAGTGCTTTATATAAATAAAACCTCATTCAATATTCACTCAATGTCAGGAAGTAGGGGCTCCTGTTGTCTCCATTTTCTGGATGAAGACACTGAGGCAGACGGGTTCAGTGACTTGTCCAGGGTGGGACAACTGGGGTCGTCCTGACTATCACCAACAGGCAACAAGCATTTATTAAGCCCCTGCTGTGAGTCAGGCACTGCGCTGGCTCTGGGACACAGAGAAGGGCACAAGGCAGACAGACACAGGCGTCCCCAGAGTTAGTGTAGACAAGGGCTCCTTTGGGCCCTCGGAGGTGTATGCCCCACTCGGCCCCGGCAGGCGCCCTCCTCCCTGCTGGCGGGCAGAGGCAGGCAGGGTTTCCAGGGCCGCGCTCCGGGCATTGCCCGGCCTGGGCAGCAGAGCTGGGGCTGGTTTCCCACGCCGCACCTTCGCACGGACAGGAGTCGGGGCGCGCTGCGCTCTGCGGGTCCTCCGAGGCTCTCGTGGGTGCCGCCATCTCCTCCCGTCGCCAGGGGCCGCCAGAGCGCCGCGGCAGCCTCGCCAGCCCCCTCGCTGGCCCCCTCCCGCTCCGAGTACAGGCCCGGGAAGGTTCCTCCTCCAGAAGGGATCGTGCGCATGCACGCGCTGGCTCCCGGAAGGGGAGTGGCGGGAGCCAGAGGGCAGGAAATAGGGGCGGAACCCCCTCGAGGGACCGGAAATGATTGGGTGGGATTGCACCTGGGGCCAGGAGGCCGAGACTCAGGCCTTATGGGGAGGGCGGGTTTGCGCCTGCGCCGGGGACCTTCCGAACGTCGCCATCACCTGGGGCTGAGGGGACGTCGGGGTCAGTACTCGGGGTGACGGTCAGGGCCTCTTCGTTTGGCCTGAGGACCAGGGGTTCTGGTGAGGGCCCGAGGGACAGTGGGGGGGCGGGTCTAACCGGAGAGGGGCAGGGACGTGTGTGTAGCGGAGGGCGGGAGGAGGGGATAGCCCTTCCTCCATCCGGGGCTCGAGAGGGGGCGGGGCCTCTACTCGGCTTTACTACCAAGGGGCGGGGCTTCTAGAGAGGGGGCGGGGCCGGCCCCCCTGGGCCCACGTAGCTGTGAATAGCAGGGCCCGGAGGTAAGATGGCCCGTGGAGTCAGGTCCTGGGTTCGAATCCATTTTCTTCTCTTAACATCCTGTATGACCTTGGTGAAGTCACATTGCCAGCTCTCAGTTTCCTCCGCTGTAGATGGACTCTAAGGGCCCTTCTAGCACCAAGTTTATGGTTTATGATCTGATAATAAGAACAAGTCAAGTCAGGAAGCATTTCTGATGCCAAGCACTGTGCTAAGCACGGGGGACACACAGACGCAGAAGCAATTTATGTTCTCACGGAGCTCCCGGTCTAACGACAGTAACAGTAACAATAATGGACACATTGTGGCGCAGTGGATAGAGATACTATTGTAACAGAAGGAACTAGCAACAACAGTAACAGTGAATGTTGTTCAGTCATGTCTGACTCTGACCCCCATCTGGGGTTTTCTTGGCGAAGATGCTGGAATGGTTTGCCATTTCCTTCTCTGGCCCATTTTACAGAGGAGGAAACTGAGGCAAACAGTTAAGTGACTTGTCCAGGGTCACGTAGCTACTAAGTGTCTGAGGCCAAATTTGAACTCAGGAAGGGGAGTCTTCTTGACTCCAGGCCTGGCGCTCTGTCACTGGGCCACCTAGCTACCTCCATGTAACAGTGAATAATAATTCATAATAATCACTGTGTAATGATAGCCTCAGGGCCAGGAAGATCTGGGTGCCTCTGGCATATCCTGGCTGTTTGAAAAGTGACTTAATCTCCTACAAGATGAAAATTGAGCCTCTTGAGTAGAAGAAGTTCTTCCGGGAGTCCCCCTTACCAGTGACACTATAGGTTCAGGCCCTATCCCCAGTAATAGCTAACCTATGTACTGGTAGTAAGCAGCAGAGCTGGGGGTTCCTGATCACAACCTTTGACTTCAGTTCACCAGAAATTCAGACATACCTTAAGGGCCTCCTTCCTGTATAGAAAAACATTTAGAATTCTTTTGCTTCTTAGAATCCTAAGTTTCTTTCACAGCCTCTGTGCCACCTCTTGCAGGAGGGCTTCCTAGTGTGCTCCCCTCCCCCACCTTGTATTATTTTGAAGCTTTACTTTGTGTACCTTGTGATTACTTCTCTGGGTTCTTAGTCTGGGGCCTCAGTAGAATGTGCCCCTTGTACAAGCCAGGCCCTTAAATCTTAGTTGAACTGACCTGGCTCTGGAGAGGAGGGGGCTTGTTAGGAGAGGGTAGAGGGATGGTGAAGGGACTGGTGGAGGGGAGTCCAAGTGGGGAGGGAGATTGCAGGTTGGGGTGGGGAAAATGATTAATTCAGTGTCAGTGTTTCATTTTCCCTCATCTGTCCTCTACAGACTTCTCGAGAATGTCCCCTGCTGGGCACACCTGGCTGGGTTCACATCCTCCCTTTGTACTAGTTGGGTGACCCTTGCAAATCACTGAGCCCTCGTCTAAGCATCTATAAAATGGAGATAATACCTGTAGTATTTACCTCCCTGGGGTATTGAGAGGCCCAGATGAGATGTCAATCAATAAGCATTTATTGAATATTTTCTATTTGCCAGCTCTATGTTAAGCTCTGAGGATATGAAAGAAAACAAAATATGTGTCAAATGCTTGCAGATCTTAAGGGATTTTTATTCTAAGGGGAGTGGGGGTAAGAAGGAAACAATGAGGTAAATATATAAAATATGTACAGGGGAGATGGAAGGGATGGAGGGCGAAAACAGCCGCTGGGGGGCATGGAAAGGTCACATAGTAAGTAGCAAAGCTAAATTTGAACTCGGGTCTCTTGGTTTTAAATCTAGCATCCAGCCCAATAGATATAGCATATAGTAGTAGTTGCTTAATAAATATTGAGTTGAGCTCCCGTGAGGGGTCTGAAAGGTAGAGGGCCTGTGTCAGGAAGGAGAGGGCCTCTCAGGGGAAGAGGGAAAGAACAGATGGGTTTGAGAGGAGAGCAGAGTGAGCACGTAGGGCTCAGAGGGTGAATGTCTGGGATAATAATAACTCCCATTTCTGTAGCATTTAAGGCTTATTAAGCAATTGCCTCCCAATAGCCCTGTAAGGCAGACCCTGGGAGAGTTATTACCTCTGTTTTACAAAAAAGCTGCAGCTCAAAAGTGGTCTTGCAGCCAGGAATTGTCCCAGGTCTGGACGAATGCAGAAACCCTAGACTTCTTGCCTGCACTCCGCCTTCCTGGCTCTGATTGATGGGGGCTATGCTAGTCGAGTGTTTAGTTACAGTTTGGAAAGGTGCTCACCGAGGCTTCCCCAGCCACAGCCAGCCTGCCTTCCTTGCGCAGTGGTTTATTTTTGGTTGAGTTTCTTCATAAAGAAGTACTCTGTACGTCAGTGTTTCACTCTTTCTCCTCCTTGAAACATCTTCCTTCCTGCTCGGGGCCTGAAAAAGGCCTTTTACTGACACAACCTGTTTGAAGCCCACCAATGTTTAATACACCAGAAAGTCAATTCAAAGTCAATCCAAAGTAAATCGAATAAAAACTCTCCTTCAACTGCTCCAGAACCTTTTAATCATTCCTCAGCACCCTGTCTGTAAGAGCCCTCTCATCTACCACCTCAACTACTGCCCCAGGGAAATGGAGCACCAGTGGCCAGCACCCAGCATCCAGCATGCCCACACAGGGAGTAGAAGTCCAGGGGGAGGGAGATAGGCTTGGGGAACCTTGGGCCAGGCTGGCCATAGAGCAGAGAGGATCCCTCAAAGGGCACACGTGCCCTTCCCCCCTCAGATCAGAGCCGTGCAACCAGGCAGACTGAGGCCTGCTTAAGTGGGCTTTGGGCCCCTCCTTGGTGGGTGGACTTTGTTCGAATGATTATTTAAAGTACTGTCCTATTTTTGCCAATCTGACAGCTGTTTCCATAGAAACCAGAGAAGAGACAGGCGCTTTCAGCGGAGTTGTTAAACCTGTCTTCGAGGCTTCAGCTGTGAATGCCAGGCAGTGTTGGACAGGCTCATTTTGAAATGATCTTTTAAAAATTAAGCTCTAAAATGTTCTCAGAGACCATAAAGAATCAATTGTTTAATGAGCTAAAATGATTAAGTTAACAAAGAATCTTACAAATTCCTCAGCTTTGCTCTTTAGCCTGCTAGAAGTCTTTTGATGTCAATTTATGGAAGCCTTTGATTTGGTTCTAAAGCCTTACATCTTTCTATCAGTATATATGATCTACTGTTTGGTTCTGTAGCAATAAATTTCATCCTCAAATAAATGAAAGATTATAAATTAAGAAATATTGCTATTCACTGGCTGTAGGCGTTGCAAGTGGTGTTCTCAGGCTTTTTCTGTACAACTTAATAACAGTTCATCAGGTGTTTATTATGCATCTACAGTATAGATGTAAGGCAGTGTGCCTAGTACTGTGGTTGATGCTTGGTTCCACGTAGGTACTGGGATATAGAGGAGAGGGTTGGAAGGAGGTAGCAACAGTGCTTCAAGTCATTTCATTGTTCAGGAAGCTCCCGGGGCTCCTTCCTCACGCCTAGAGTGGCTTTTCAAGCCGTTTGTGCCTTGGCTCCAGGCTCCCTTCCCAGCTGGTGGCATGTGTATCTCCTTCATTCACCTCACCCTTCCCTGACTGTTCCTGGTGTCTCCCATCTTTGTGCCTTCACATAGTCTGCCCCTCCTGCCGGGGGCTGCTGCTTCCTCTTCAGCTCTGCCTGCTAGGATTTCTAGCTTCCTTGAAAACTCAGCAGACGTGTTATCTCCTATAGCACAGGTTCTTTTGGCTGTGTCCTAGGCCCCTTTGGCCACCTGGTGAAGCCGTTGGACCCCTTCACGTAATCTTGTTCAAAAAATAATTGAAAGAAATGAAATGGGAATAAAGGTGAATAGTTTTCTGATCCATGTTCTTGGAACCCTTTTTAGATTGATGGAACACAGATTAAGAATCCTGTCCTACCAGAAGGCTATCCTAATTGCCTAGTTATTAATGCCCTTACCCCAGAAATTGTTTTGATCACATTGTAGATTTAATTTTCTCCATAACTTATTGTTTTCCCTCGATAGAATGTAAGCTTGAGGACAGGGACTGTTTTGATTTTGTATTTATGTTCCCCAACATAGTATAGTGCCAGTTTTGCAGTAGGTGCTTAGTAAATGCTCGTAGAACAAATAAATGAGTGTTCTGAAGAAAGTGCTTCTAGCTGGAGAGCCAGAGAAAGTGCAGTATTGAAATAATTTGTCAGCCCCTCCCAATGCCTCCTTCATGAGTGGAATGTTTATTTTCTCATGTAATTATGTGGCTTTTTTATGATATATCAGGAATTTAAAATTATAAACTAGATAAAGTGGTAGAAATACTGTTCATCTTTCAGACTTAAACCAGAAGGTGGCATGTTAAGATTTGATTAGATTCTCAAGGGAAGATGTCAACTTGTAGGTGGGAGAAGATTAACTATTTTTTTTTTTGGTCAGGCAGTTGCGGTTAAGTGACTTGCCCAGAGTCACACAGCTAGTGAGTGTTATTTGTCTGAGACCGGATTTGAACTTGGATCCTCCTGACTTCAGGGCTGGTGCTCTATCCGCTGCCCTACCAGCTGCTTCAAGATTAGTTAAATTTTAAAATAACGTTGTGATGGTTATTATAAACAAACACCTCCCTTAAGAAAAAGAAACTTCGATGATAGTAGCTAACATTCATCTAGTTTTAAGGTTTGTAGGCCCTTATATCAGCCTGTTCTTTCATCTTCATAACGATCCTGGGAGGTAGGTGCTATTATTATCCCCATTTTACCAGTGACAAAA